CCCCAATGTTGATGGCTTCGCGGCGTCCCTCGGGACAAGCAGTGCGAATACATCTTGTTGACGGCTTGTTGGCAGACTTGCTTGACTTTTGCGTGTGTAGCAATGAAAACCAACCTGTACTTACATGTTACAGAATTAGTAGGGTCATTCCTATTATAAAAGCACTTGCACTGATCATTTACGTCAGTGCAGTTGGTCTCGTAATCACCCACGAATTCATTTACGGCAGCAATAATTATGATCAAAACGATCGAAGCAACAGTCGAAATGATCACAGCAATGATGTTGAAAAACAAAGCAAAACCCATCTAGAATGAAAGAATTAAACGTTATAGACCGATTTGAAAAATAGTTGTCATTCTTTTCAACCATAGCCTATCAAAGGGAAGATAACAATTACATTTAACAACTATGGCGCCGAAGGCGAGGTGATTATCGGGGAATATTCGCCGAGACGAAGTCGAGGTGAATAGGCCTATTCCCCGATAATCACCGAGCCTGAGGCGAATAATTATTTTAGTATTTTTGTGTTTTTTTGGGACTGAATTTATTTTAATTTCGCTTATTTCTTTATCAGTATAACGTCCACAAAATGGCTAGCCGCCATTTTGAAAATTTCGGTTTTGTTATATTCACCTGTCGGTGAATATAACAGCTTAATACGTCAAATTTGACCAATCAACTTGTAGGATTTGTTATGTTCACTTGTGCAAAAATACTAGAATTCATTATCTATGTTTGTCAACGTTTATTCATAAATATAGTCCTTCACCGTCACGTGTGTATTGTGTTTTTGCCAAATCCACCAATAACAATTTCCAATTTACACTATTGTTCGAGTCACGGATAGGTAACTTTCCTAAAACATTGCTATTGGTTAGTTGGGCAAAAATACAATACACACGTGACGGTGAAGGACCGGGTTTATGAATAAACGTTGACTAACATAGATAATGAGTTATATTGTTATTCTAATGAGTTTCATAGCAATCTTCCGTTTGATAAGCTATGAGGAAAATAAATCTCTAGAACTCGAACAATTTAGGAACATAAGTGTCCCCTATGATTTTTTTGTTTTGTTCCCTTGTTCCCTAGAAACCCCCGGGAGACCCTCATTCAGTTTTTGAACCCAGTATTTGAATCTAAAGGCCCGATTCCACGAGCGCTTTTCCTCGGCGAAATGCGGAACATTTCGCACGAAATGAAATCGTCCATGCGCAGTAACGATAAATGGACTATTTGCATTATAGACTAAATTTTGATCTAGACAAGTCTAGACAAAAATTTCATCACATCTTGAAAGAGCATCACAAAATTAGTAATATTCCAAAGTTTCGTTGCGAAATGTTGTAAAATGCGGATAATATAGCCATGCGAAGTTTGCCGTTTTTCAGTCATTTTGTATTACGCACGGGAAATTGACAGCCCAATCGGGTGTTGGGGCATCAATTTCCCGTTTTTTAATACAAAATGACTGAAAATTGCAAATTTCGCAAGGCTATATTATCCGCTTTTTACAGCATTTCGCAACGAAACTTTGTAATATTACTAATTTTGTGATGCTCTTTCAAGCTGTGATGAAAAGTTTGTCTAGACTTGTTTAGATCAAAATTTAGTCTATAATGCAAATGGTCCATTAGGCTTCATGAGAAACAAGCCAGTGAGTAGAAGTCAATTCGACTCACTGCGAAAGCGAAAAAAATGTGCAAATTCAATAGAATCACTTATGAAATAAGATCAACAGAGATATTTGAAAAAATAGGTTGGGAAAAAATTGAAATTATTCTTAAAAAACGTGAACACATTATGACATTTAAAGCATTACGGGACGAAACGCTAAAATGCTTGTCAGACCTGTTTGTCGCCAGTCATAATGACATGCACGTGTCAATTAAGAAGTAATGATCGACAACTTTATTTAAACAAACCAAACACAAACTTTATGAAAAATAGCTTTTCATTCCGCGAAATTGTCATTCTTCCAGCTCAAATTGTCGATGTATACGACCAATTTTCCTTGTATTAATTTAAAACAGTTTAATAAATCACTACAAGGACTTGCAGGGAAATACATCGACAACTTAATTAACCTACCGTATTTACTCGATTGAGCGCCGCCCCCGATTGAGCGCCGCCCCCGAATGAGCACCGCATTTGAGATCAAATTTTTTTAAAGAGCGCCGCCCCCGAATGAGCGCCGCTCTAAACAGTGTAATAATTTTCCACCGTCAAAACGAGAACATTTAGTGACAAAGACATTCAAAACTTGTTTACTTTATTGTTAAAAGTTCTTGATATAATTCACAAATAAAAGTTTTTTTAAAGAGCGCCGCCCCCGATTGAGCGCCGCCCTCGAATGAGCGCCGCATCTGAAGCTCTGAAAATTTAAAGAGCGCCGCGGCGCTCAAACGAGTAAATACGGTAGTTCTCTTTTGTTAAAATTGTTGTAAATAGATAGTGTTTGTATTTCTAAACAAAGTATATATGTATTCATAAACGGTCCCTTGAAAATCAGTTTTTCTTTACCGCTGAAGGGCTACCGTTTTCAAATAATTTTAAATATAATAATAATACTGCGGATTTCGATTTACCGTTTTAGGGCTTCCGTTTCCGGTGATTGTTTTTCCGTTAAAACGAACAAGTTGTAATGTGCAGCCATCCATATTTTTATATATATATATATATATATATATATATATATATATATATATATATATATATATATATATATATATATATATATATACACCCTAACCCCTAACCCTAACCTATATTGGTGCGCGAAACATGGAACGATAACCGCAATTGGGCCTTAACTATCCCTTACCACAACGCCATGTCTGGTTGCACCTGCCACAATACTGAGTATTCCTGGCACAGCATACTAGAATAAAAAGAAATCATGCTATACTAAAATCAGCGGATACAACCTGGCAGTGAGGACAGCGCGCGCGGAAATACCTGCCGTGCCCAATGCATACGTGCAAAAACAGCAATTTTTAACTCCTCCCCCCCGTTCAATGTTGAAAGCTTAAAAATTGATTAGGCGAAAACTTTGTGAAATGCATGTCACAGGCTTTCTGGCATCCTTGTGTAGAAAAGTAGGACAAAAGTAGGACTAGAATGTTAGGAAAAGTAGGAATAAAGTAGGAAAATGTGTAGAAAAGTAGGACAAAAGTAGGAGTTTTGGAGATGGAAATAACACAAAAATATACAAAATTGGCCCCCTAGGATATATGCGGTAAGGGGTGGACCATTAGATATCTGATGGGGAAGTTGTGTTAATTTTTGGTGCTCAATATTTTTTTGTACTCATTCATCTATGCAGGATTTTTTCTCACAATGACCAATCCACTACACAATGACCAATCCACACTGCGGCAGGAGAATATATATACTGTAATGCTTGATTAACTGAGGAGGGGGGGAGTTGAATATTTGGAATCTCTCGATTGTCGGAAATGGCACTTTCAGAGTCTTCATTAATTTATTGATTATGATTCTAGAGATGCTATGAAATTTTACACTCGGAAAATTTACTTCTTCTCTTCCCGAGATCTTATCATCTGAGACACAAATAGGGAATAAAAATTATGAGTCATATAGATCTAATTACGAGAGCTATAACATACTGATTCCCCAAGCTGTCTTAAAAAAGTAGGATTTTATGAGAAAAAGTAGGAAAAAGTAGGAAAATCAATAAAAAATAGGAAAAGTAGGAAAGTTGAAGAAAAGTAGGAAAAAGTAGGAAAAGTAGGATGGCAAGAAAGCCTGATGTCATAACCAA